GATCAAAATTTATGCTTTTAATTTGCTTTTTAATCATATGCAATGTTTCATATAATTATTTGCTCATTCCTAATCAAAATATTGGAGATTAGTATAAGACAGGAACATGAAGTGAGCCTTGTTTACCACTAATCTTTTTCAATGATACAAAGAAATACTCACCATATTTCTGCTAGTTATGTCGCCTAAGTAAACCACAGCATTCATTTGAGGAGCCCAAGTTTGAATCTCTCTTTGCCAAGATGTCAAAGTGGAAAGTGGCACGACTAGCAAGAAAGGCCCATACAGTTGATGTTCGTGAAACAGGTAGTTCAGAAAAGAAATTGTTTGTATTGTTTTACCCAGACCCATTTCATCTGCAAGAATACAACTATTCCCTCTAAAAAACAAACAAACAAACAAAATTTATAAATGCTTTCAAGTTAAAAACAGCAAGACTAATTTAAGACTACTTACTTGCACCATGAATGAGCAAGCCAGTTCAGTCCATTTAACTGATAATCTCTTAACTCTAAACCTTCATGTCCTCCAATATAAGATGGTTGCTTCTTTAGTGCAACAAACCTTGGCCTCTGTTTTAGAATCTGTTAAAAGCAAATTGAGCATCAGTCCTACTACTAAGTGAAATTACCAAAATGTCTTCTTATAGAAACCAAGTAGCAGTAGGATTCTGTTTGGTCACCAGGTCTAGTCTTTATTCATCACAGACATCTAGGCTATATAACAATATCCACTCATTTGCAATCTATAATTAGTTTGCTGATCTAAATTCCACAACAGAAGTGACATGAACTCATTCACAAAGGTTAGTTTCAAAACAAATTAAAGTAATAAAAAATTCCATCTTTGAATGGCAATAAAATAAGTAGGGAACATATACAAAATCATAGAATGGTTTGGGTTGGAAGAGACCTTAAAGATAAATCTAGTTCCAACCCCCCTACCATGGGCAGAGACACCAAAGGCTAGTCTTAATAGTAATGCTTCCTATGCATATAAATATAGCTATAATTATTAGTATTTTGAACAGCATTCAAAAATATTTTATAATATGCATTGCAACTGTGCAAATCCATTGAAATTAGACACTCACCTTGCAGTCCTTAAATGGAGTGGTCTTGGATTGGTTTCTACTAAAATATTCATCAATACACGCCTGAAATTTTTTGGCAATGAGAGCACCGTCTTCCCAGCTACATTCTGAGTAAGGCAGACCTTGCCATTTGCAATAGTAATCTGGATAACCAGCTGCTGATTTCTGATTTGAATGAGCTGCAGAAATGCATCAGAGATACTACATCAATATTTTCCTTCTGTATTTTAAGAAAGTATTCATTTTAGTGGTAAGACAACATGAACTAGTATCACAGTAAAGACAGTATGACAACCTTTCTCTTCATCAAAGATTTTGTTTTGCCTTAGGTTGCTAGGGATATTAATAGCCTGAATTTCTTAACTATAAATTTAACATGCAAGCAATAAACTTGTAATATTCTCAACACTGTTTTCCATCTGGAAGTTTGTGACATACCAATTATCCTCTCCACTATTTGATACTGCTTATGTAGATCATCTGTAAGTTCCTGCTGGCAGTTATAATATTCCACATCTTCTGGAGAAGCATTTTTCAGCCTGAAATGAAAATCCATTTGCAACACTTATTATATTGTATAACTCTAAACCTAAGAAAATCTAGCAATTTTAAAGCTCTGAATGTATGCACCATAGGAATGCTCCTTAGAGAGCTTCTTTGAAGAAGCTACAGCTCTGGAATTCCTGCTATAAAAGTGTTGCATTCGCCTAGGTACTTCATCACTGATGATTGAGAAAGCTTATTGAGAAATTACTATCAGCTACAGCTTGCACTAGTCATGCAGATAATTTACAATATCTGTTCTCAACACAGTAGTGTTTTCACAGAACAGCACTGATGGCTCACTAAGAATCTATCTTATGAGTAGGAGTCACTAAAAATTCCACCACTACTCATAGATCATATTAAACATACAAATAAACTGGAATACTAAAACATAGCACTAAAACATAAGGATTTTTTTCATTTCTTGGTTCTGAGGCTTTGACAGAAGTTTGAGCCAAGAAAACTAAATGCTGTAATGTTTTGAGTGCTTTAGCCATTTCTGATTTTTTAAATCTCTGCAGCAATTCCCAAAGAACTCTGATCAAAATACAATCAAACAATGACAAAATTAGTAAAAGTTAAGATTTAAAACAGAAAACCCACTGCCCATCTTGTTAAAATGTCATTTATAACAGACATTAAAATCTAGGTGCAGAAGTTGTTTCCTTAAAGGCCTGATTTTATAAGATGTGTGAGTGTTCTCATTTACTCAAGTAAAGTTCATGTACTCAGAATCTTACAGGATCATAGTGTGTTAGGGAAGTTTCAACTTTAAAGCTTTTGTCTTCCTGTTGTACTGGTACTTGAAAACATTTATATTGTTACAAAAAAGATATGCAATATGGAAATAGTTATAAAAGTACTCACCAGCGTTTTGTTTCCTGATCCTTTTTCTTATAGTTGTCCAGTTTCTTCATTCCTTTAACATTTTGTTGCTTCAGTGTTTCCTCAGTTTCCCATGTATTATGGATGTGTGACCAGCCTTTCCATTTAATAAGATATTGTATTTCTCCTAGCTCCTTTGACTTTTCAAACCCAGTATTTGGGTCACCATCTGCCTCAATTGCATAGATGGTGGTTGCAGCACCAGTGGCTAATAAAGAAACCACACCATGTGTCTCGATTAAATACGCACTGCCATAAATTATCCAATAAAAAACACACTGCAGAAAGCAATTTATGGTGCTTTTATATGAGGATGAAACTTGATTAATTATATCTACAATGCTTATGTCATCCTTATTTGAAGAATTATGATGTAGCTATATTAACACATGCACAAGTATACCAACAAGATTCAAAAAAGCAACCAAAAATCACTGCATCTAACCTATAGTATCTCATCTTGTGAGACTTTTCTTAGCATTCTTATTTTTTCTAGTGATCCCCAGAGAATGCTTCACTAACACTGCTTGCTGTCATCTTTGCTATGTCCTTACCTCTGAGAATATAACAGATTTTTGAAATTGCATTTAATCAGCCTTGAAACTTCAATAGCCTACTATTCAATTATTACTATAGATGCCATAAATCCAATACACAAAACTGAAGAATGGTTGAGATTGGATGGGATGTCTGGAGGTATGTAGTCCAACCTCTATGCTCAAACAAGGCCACCTAGAACCAGGTGCCCAAGACTATGTCCAGATGGCTTCTGAATATCTCCAAGAAGGGAAACTCACCACCTCTCTGGACAACTCCAACATGCAAACTGGTAACAACAGATGAGTAGAAGGATGAGGTACTCAACAACTTTTTTGTCTCAGCCAAGGCAGGAACTGGGGAAGCAATGTCCCTCCCATTATAAGTGAAGATCAGGTTCGAGATAACCTGAGGAACTTGAACATACATAAGTCTATGGGACCCAATGAGATGCATTCCATGCTGCTGTAGTTGCCAAGACACTCTCCATATTTGAAAAGTCATGGCAGTCAGGTGAAATCCCTGGAGACTGGAAAAAGGGAAACATTGTACCCATCTTTAAAGAGGGTAGAAAGGAGGACCCTGGGAAATACCGATCCGTCAGCCTTACCTCTGTCCCCGGGAAGATCATGGAACAGATCCTCCTAGAAGCTATGCTAAGGCACATGGAGGACAGGGAGGTGATCTGAGACAGCCATCATGGCTTCACCAATGACAAGTCCTTCCTGATCAATCTAGTGGCCTTCTATGATGGAGTGACTATATCAGTGGACAAGGGAAAAGCTACAGATGTCATATATCTAGACTTCTGGTAAGGCCTTTGACACGGTCCCCCACAACATCCTTCTCTCTAAATTGGTGGATAAGGAATTGGCTCAATGTCCCGATGGAGATCAGTGACGAGTGGTGTCCTTCAGGGGTCCATATTGGGATCAGTCCTGCTTAATATCTTCATCAACAACATAAAACAGTGGGATTGAGTGCACCCTCAGCAAATGTGCAGATGACACCAAGCTGAGTGGTTGGATTGACCATGCCTGAAGGAAGTGACCCCATCCAGAGGGACCTGGACAAGATCAAGAAGTGGGCCCATGGGAATCTTATGAGGTTCAACATGTCCAAGTGCAAGGTCCTGCACCTGGGTCAGGTCAATCCGTGGTATCAATATAGGCTGGGTGATGAAGGGATTGAGAGCGGCCCTGTGGAGAAGGACTTGGGAGTACTGGTGGATGAAAGGCTGGACAAGTCAGTAATGTGCTCTCAGAGCCCCAAAAGCCAACCATATCCTGGGCTGCATCAAGAAGAGAGACCAGCAGTTCAAGGGAGGTGATTCTGCCCTTCTACTCTGTGCTGGTGAGACCCCACCTGGATTAATGCATCCAGCTCTGGAGTCCTCAGTAGAAGAAAAAACATGGACCTGTTAGAGCATGTCCAGAGGAAGGCCATGAAAATGATGAGAGGGCTGGAGCACCCCACCTATGAAGGCAGGCTAAGAGAGTTGGGGTTGTTCAGCATGAAGAAGACTCTACCTTCTTGTGACCTTTCAATACTAAAAGGGGGTTTATAAGAAAGATGGGGACAAGGTTTTTAGTAGTGAGTTCTGGTTTTGGCTAGAAGAGAATTAATTTTCTTCAAAGTAGCTAGCATGCAGCTATGTTTTAGAATTGTACTAGAAAGACTGTTCATAATTCAGGGATGCTTTAGTGTTTACACATAAGGCCTTTTCTGCTTCTCACACCAC